AGACTGCTCAAAATCAGAGATCAGATCAGGCCATGGATTCAGCTGAGAAACGGTGAGATTTACTGGGGGGCGAAAATAATGAAGGTGTACTCTGTTTGAATGGTTTGGGAATCCTTGCGTGCAAAGCAGCCAGAGGTGCCGTGGTTTAAGCTTGTCTGGAGTAGGTTCTGCCCTCCTCGATATAGCTTTATTGCTTGGCTTATTGTAATAAATGCAATAGTGACGAGAGATAAGCTTCTGAGCTGGAGGAAGATAACTATTGCCTCTTGTCCATTGTGCACATACCCGATGGAAATGAGAGAGCACCTGTTCATGCATTGCTCTTTTGCTCGTCTTCTTGTCTTGAATTTGCATTGCAGATTGTTTGAAGCAGGAGACTGGGACGCAATGATGGCTGCAGTCTGCTCTTTGGTTCAACCCTCGGGGAAAATGAGATGGCACGGGGTTGTGTGGTGTATGGTGTTGACATACATATGGCGTGAGCGATGCAGAGTGGTACATGGTGGTGCAATGCCTGACCCGGAGAAAGTTGCTGCCCAGCTGCAAGCGGATCTGCAGTACTTGGTTGCTGGAAATGCCATGCTGCAAGGAGACCTTGTGCACTTGGGATATCTTTGATTTTTCTTTGCTTGCTACTTGTTTTGAGTAGATGAGTGTGCAGTTATAAGTTGAGTAGGAGTTGGCAGTGTTTTTGACATTACTCAAAGCGTTGTCGCTTTGCCTCGTTGTATTGGTTTTTCTTTTCATATTAATAAGAGGGAAACTGATTCAACGAAAAAAAAGTATATGACGCTTGTACAAAAGTCACGGACTTGTTAGGGTTGTGCATCTACAGGTCTCTCCATTAAGCATTTTGCGAAACCACAAAAAAACTAAGAACCCTAAGTTATCAAAGAATCGCCAAACACAATCAATTGAAATGAATGGATATACTCAAAGTTGCATGATAGTATAATAGGTGTTGCTCCCTAGAACCACAAATAATTGAAATATCCAATAAGATATGCTACTGCAATTTGATTCAATGCTCCAACAACATAATGTAATTGAAATCCACCCCATAGAACTGTAGTTAAAGGTGGCAAATAGAATGGATTGATGGATTGGTGTACCACTGGATCAAATGAATTGGTAGATTCATGAAGTGGATCATGAATCCAAATGACATCCAAAACTTGCATCGATATATAAATATAAAAATTTGATGTACTAAAATGTCCCAAACAAAATTATATTTTTCAAAATATAATTTTCTATTTATACATTACTTTTAAAAAATTTAATTTTAGGTATCTAAATGCAAAATATAAAAATTAGAGGTGCTAACTGTAATTTTCCAAATATCCATGATGTCACAAATCTAATTGAATTGGATTTAGTTTGATATTTCAGTGAATGGATTGGATTTGATTGAATTGGTGGATTGGATACAAAATTGTCATAGAAGCTAATGGAAGAAAAATGGAAAAAATATAATTATGATGAAGAAGAATGATAATGAAGAGAGCGAATAGAAACCGAGAAAATGAATAAGAGTTACAGGTGTACAACAATCTAGTTCGGTACAAACTGAGTCAAACTATGAGAACGAAGGTCCAAGAGAAAAAAATCTTAGAACCAAGGACGAAACCGTTATTGTACTCAATTCGGATTTGTCAGGTTTGTTCCCGTCCAAATGACAATTTGATCCAATTTTCTTCAGTACTATTTAAATTTATGCAACCAGGAACCAAATAATAATATATTAATTCGATCCAAACGCCGGTTTGATCCGATGTGATCCAGTACAACCAAACTGTTGCTTACCCGCAAAAAGAGTTTATCTAAATCAACCCACCGCCTAAAACTATGGGCCATGAAACTCTATCGGAAAACTCAGCGATAGGGTATTTTATGGCAAAATAGTAGTTCAACCGTTAATACTGTTAAATACCGCCTACCAATTTAGCATCCGATACTGACACTTTGTGGTTGAACCACCGGTACAGTATGGTATGATTGGATCATTGACCATGCCTAAAATATGGTCTGCTGTTGATGAGGCCGGCTCTCTTCATGGATTAGTCAAAATCAAAAAGAAAGAAAAAATGGCAACACGCCAATAAAAATGGGTGTGATCACTGAGCTCGACCAATAAATAAAAGGTTGTGAAAAAACATAAATAACCAACATGTTACTATAGTAGACCTCTTATGGAACAGTAGATCTCTTATATGTTTAATAATATTCATAGATGTTTCTTGATCGTTTAGCTTGGTTAGAGACGTTCATTGGCCTATTTTATGCTAGGTTGTGTTCCTTTTTTATATTTAAGATCTTAGTATGCAATTATGGAATATGAACGATTTATGGGGCATTTGACGCAAAATCAGGTCAAAGGAAGCAAGAGATCACAAGTCACGACCAGACTTCACAAGTCATGGCCATTTCTATGAGTATTGATCACACTCCTCCAATTGTGCTTTAACCTACGACGGCGATGCGGAAAGGCATACGATGACTCTGGCTTGTCGACTTCGACAACAACAACGCTGATGAAGGAGAGAAGATGGTAGTTCTGCCGCCATGGTCAGATTTGGAGAGGGAATCAGTTGATCAGGTCATCTTCCCTGACGGAAATTGACAGCATCAAGAGGGCAACAACGATGGGAAACCTCACCCAATTCCTCCTCTACCGCAAATCCCTAATCCTTCCTCCCGCAGTATTTCGCCACTTTTAGTTCCGCAAATCCCTAATTCCTCCTCCACCAACGGAGATCATCCCCGCAACGATGAGCTCCACTCGAAATTCGCCGTGTCCATGGAGGTTCATCTCAATCAGAGCAGTGCAATAGCAACGTCGATAAAGGAGGGACGCTAGTGACTAGCGACACCGAGTTGGGCATAGTGTAAAATGCAATGTGTTAGCAAACTAACCACTTGGTCCCAATAACTCGAGTTGTTGGGAAAGGGATAGTTAAGCCTTTTAACCTCTTATACGCCCCCTCAAACGAAAGGCTACATTTGTCGGGGTTTTTTATACGGTTTGCACAGGTTGAGCGTATCATTCCTTGTGCTGCCAAACCCATTAGGCTTTCAGTTTGTACAGGTTGGACATACCATTCCTTGTACTAAACCATTGTTTGCTTAAATTGGGGGTCGTCATGAGGATTCGAAACCATGACCTTTCGGTTCTAGGCTCTAATACCATGTTAGCGAACTAACCACTTGGTCCCAATAACTCGAGTTGTTGGGAAAGGGATAGTTAAGCCTTTTAACCTCTTATACAATGCTTGAAGACGACCCTTGCTCTTTCCTCGCCGTCTGTCGAATCGGGGAATGGTGGATGCGAGGGAGATTTGGTTCGACTATAATTGTGTCATTCGCAGAAGGAGAAGATAGGTGGGAGAGAGAAATTATTTATTGTTTTATCTACTTTTTTTTTCAATTATCTTTTTTTTTTGTTTTTGTTTTTTCTTCCAATCAAATTCATGTGGCAATGTTGTTAACTAATGTCGTCACATCAGCCATTGTGTTAGTCGAGTCAGCACGTTAACTAACACAGTCAAAGAATTGGATGGAAGTGGCTATATTTGGCATTTCGCCAAAAGTGGCTATATTTGGCCAATCCGTCAAAGTTTTTGCTACACAGGTGTATTTTGCCTTTTAATAAACTTGTGGTATGCTTTATCAGGTTTCTGATATGGTTCAGGAAACTTGTGATCTGCTTTGAGAAATTCGTGGTCTACTGGCATGCTTTAATAAACTCGTGGTCTACTTTATCATATTTCTAGTATGTTTCAGAGAACTTGTGGTTTACTGGCATGCTTTAATAAACTCGTGGTCTACTTTATCATATTTTGCACCGTGGTGAGGTTCCGGTACGCTTTAGGATAATTGTTTTGTTTCTTGTCTGTGTTTTGTGGCCTTCTTATAGAGGTGGCAAATGGATTGGATTGGTGGATTGATGGATTGGATTGGTGGATCCATGGATCAAATGGATTGGATCTAATGGATTGGTGGATTCATGGATTGGATCAATTGGATTGGTGGATTATCCATGAATCCAAATGACATCCTCAACCAAGGACCAATATGTAAAATATAAAAAGTTTAGGTACTAAAATGTCACAATGAAAAATTTTAGGTACCAAAGCGTAATTTTCCAATGATATTTTTCGTATAAAAAATTAAATTTTAGGTACCAAAATGTAAAAAATAAAAATTATAGGTACTAAACCGTAATTTGCCAATGATCCATGGATCCAATCCATGAATCCACCAATCCAATTGGATTTGGATCAAATGTATTGGATTTAAATGGATTGGATTAGGTGGATATTTTTAATGGATTGATGGATTGGATTGGTGGATTGGATTGAAATTGCCACCTCTACCTTCTTATAATGATACTTGTGGTGAGATGTGGGATGCATAATTAATGCACAACACTACACATGTGCCCCTTAATTTTTGAATAATGAAAAACGTGTCTCTTCCTTTATAAATCCTCTTTAATTGTGGGCAACCCTTTGAAAAAAAATAATCAAAACAAAATGTTTATATTGGTTGAATCTAATGTTAGCAGCATGCTACTTGATTTGGAGATTAGTATTTTGGTAATTAAAAAGACCATAAAAAAAACAGTTTGATCTTGAACAATTACTTTATGTTGCAATGCAGATCAGAGTATAACACAAATCAGAAGGCCGGAATGAGATACTGTGACTTCTAGGTACCCATACACAAAAAGAGGTAGGTATTGGAGCATGTTGCATACGAAGATTGTTGGGTGTAGTCAAGTCAAACACAAATTTACGGAAAATTATCTTAACGACTTCAAAAGAAAACTGGCCGGCCAAGGAGCTAATCATCACGGAAAGAAAATGTATGTCTTGATTCATCAATTATGCTAATTCATCTCATTAGTGACGGGTTTCGGATAATTATTAGCGGGCCAGGCTAATATAGATAGATTGGATCGGACCGGCCCGGCCCGGCCCGGCCCGGAGTTGCATGGATCAGGCCACTATGTCGAAACCCATGCCACAAATGATACCGCCTTTGGCACCGGCGCCCTCGTAGCGGCTGCAGGAATCGAAAAGCAACTTTTGGAGACCGGAGAGGCAGGTTGCGCAACGGCTGGCGTCTCTCGTGCCGTCACACAGCGCCGTGCCCTGGACGGAACCAGGGTTGTCGTTGGGGAACACCGTCCCGTACTGGAAGCCTGATACGGTGGGCGTAACCGTAGCCAGCTCGGACACCACGTGAGCCACGTAGGCTGAGTAGGTTGCCACGTCGTACTCGGTCACCACGCCACCTCTGCAGTATTTGGTGCTGGCGCCGTAGCCTTGGACGACGCTGGCCCTCGTCGGGAATGTGAACATCATGATGATGACGATGAAGAAGAAGAAAAATGCACCCGCCGCTGATGTGGCTCGCTCCATGTCTCTCTTATTTTACTTTCTTTCTCCTTTTGCTCTCACTCTACCAATTTATAAAGAATCTGTTATTGCTGATGTTGGATTTTTGCCGTCCTGGCGAACAATGAAGCTGTATCAGGTGAATATCCCAAAACCTCGGCTCTTGCCTGCAAACGAATATGAAACCGAGTGTCAGTCCACATCTTTCTTGTGAAGTTGGTGATTATCTTATTATCCCCCTATTGTTTAATTATATTACCGGCGATATCCAAACATAATTTACAAACGAGCTGATCTATTCGGCCGGACACGTACATTATTTCCGTTCATTCAATAGTAATTTTGGACGTGTTTAATATTTTCTCCGTACACTTAATATTTTCTATTTTCTTTTCTGAACATCCGTGTATGCATAGAGACTAGAGTCGAGGTGATCATATCATAATTGCATCCGGGTGTTCAAAAGGATTGGTCACTATGGTAACCATATTAATCGGTAACATTCGGTTAATTTGGTTCGGTTAATTTGGATAATTGATTTGGTTATTTTTTTTTTCTTATTTGGTTTAGGTGGTTTGGTTTGGTTTCACCATTTTTTTTTTTTTTTATGAATGGGTGGGATTTTATTTCATCAAAAATACAATCTGTACAGAGTCTGACATGGGACTAGAACAGTTTTGCACCTGTAACTACAACACGCTAAAAAACCAATTAACACTACAAAAACCTATGTCTTGTACCACAAGTGACGCGCCATAGCTAGATCAGCAAAACCAGGATCTCCCAACTCTCTGGCTATCATGACCTCCTGCATTTTACTCACCAGCTCTGCCACCAACAGTTGCTTCCCTCCAAAAACTCTTCTACAGCGTTCTCTCCATATTTCGCTTAGCACTAGGCACCAAAGAATCCTGCCCACCAAGCACTTATTAAGTCTCTGTGTAGCTAAAGAAACTGCCTCCTGCAGGGATCTGGGCACTGGGAGCCTCCATGAAGGGGGAAAGACTGCTCTCCAAGTATCCTGCACATATAAGCACTGGAAAAAAAGGTGAGCCTTGGTCTCCCCAACCTGGCCACAAAAAACACACAGGTCATTTACACCAGGGTTCCATTTCTTCACCACATCCATTGTGTGGATCCTTCCTAGTAAGATCAGCCATGTTATTGTCGAGTTTTTTGGGATTCCTCCCTTCCATACCAGCTTCGACCAACTGACTGTAGTCCCTCGTGGCCTGAAGCTCTCCCAAACCTTGCTAATTTTGAACCTCTCCATCAATTCCCCTTCCCATTCAACCCCTCTGCTGGTTAGACATAACTTCCCTGCCACCTCACTTCTTAGTTTCAAGACTTTGTTCCAAACCCAAGAACAACCAGTGCTTACCTCCCAGATGCTCAAATTCCTTAGCCGATACTCTTTTATCCAGGCAATCCACAGGGTATCCAAGCCAGAGAGAACCCCCCAAATGTGCCTAGTGAGGCAGGCCTTATTCCAGGAATAGAGGTCTTTAAACCCCATTCCACCTTCTGATTTAGGCAGAGCCACATTTTTCCATGAGACTTTAGCCCTTTTCTTTCTCTCAAGATCACCCCAGAGAAATTGGGAACACATTCTCTCAATCTCCCTAATCACCTTCTTTGGCAACAGTATAACCTGCATCCAGTACTGAGTCATGCTTGCAAGAACCGAGATGACCAGCTCAATTTTACCTGCATATGTTAACAGCTTAGGCTGCCACCCCATTATACGCTTCCCAATCCTATCCACCAGATTCCTACAATCAGCAGCTGATAATTTCCCAGCAGTCAGTGGCAAGCCAAGGTATCTGACTGGCAAACAACCAGCCTGGAAGCCAGAATGCGAAACCAAATCCTCTCTCAGAGAATCAGGGACCCCTGCACTGAAAATCTCACTTTTGCTCTGATTGCACCTCAGCCCAGAAATCAGATAGAATTTATCCAACACTTCAGCAACCACAGACACACCTTCTACATTTCCTTTTGTAAAAATCAGTAGATCATCAGCAAAACACAAATGTGTTAAGCTGATTCTCTTACATTGGGGATGGTATGGCAAGAAACCCCTAGCAGCAGCTCTATCAATCATACAGCTTAAAACCTCCATGCTTACAGTGAATAAGTAAGGAGAGAGTGGGCAACCTTGCCTCAAACCCTTCTTAGCAGGGAATAAACCAGTCAACCCTCCATTAATACAAACAGAAAAACTTGTAGAATTCAAGCAACCCCTCACCCAACTCACAAATCTGCTTGGAATTCCCATGGCCAACAGAGTACAGAGCAGGAAGTCCCAATCAACACTATCAAAGGCCTTCATTATATCAATTTTTAGGGCACATCTAGGGGAGACATTTTTTCTGTTGTACCATTTCACCATTTCATGAGCAAGTACAATATTGTCTGTAATGAGCCTACCTTGAATGAAGGCAGACTGATTAGGGCTAATAAGCTGAGGCAAGACTACCCTACTTCTGTTAGCAAGAATCTTGGAGATACATTTGTATATGAAGTTACAACAGGATATTGGCCTGAAATTCTTCATTGTGTTTGCATTTGGGACCTTAGGAATGAGAGCTAGGATAGTACAGTTTACCTCTTTGCGCAATGTGCCAGTACAGAAAAAGTCTTGAATAGCAGAGATGAGAGTCTCCCCCACCAGATTCCAATGGCATTGAAAAAATTCAGCAGGGAAACCATCTGGCCCAGGGGCCTTCCCTCTCTTCATCTTCATAACTACAGTTTTAATCTCCTCCCCAGTGACCTGAGCACATAATTCATCACTACCTGACTCTAGGTGGAACTTAAGAAGGCTTTGAAGGGTGCTAACTGAGACCCTTTTCAAGTTTGTATCCTCAGTCCCCAATAGCTTCTTATAGAAATTCACTGCCTCCAATCCAATTTCATCAATATTTTCCAGAATAGTTCCTTCATCAGTGACTAGCTGCTTGATAGTATTCCTAGCCTGTCTGGTTTTAACCATACTGTGGAAAAAACTTGAGTTAGTATCTCCCTTTGTAACCCACTGCTGTCTGGATTTCTGCTTAAGAAAGCTTTCTTCAGCCTTTTGAAGAGCAAGAAGCTGGACCATACACCTCTTTTCAGCTTGGAAAGCTGAAGAGGCAGGGCGCTCCAACACCTCTTGCTGAGCTCTCTCAAGTTCAGCCCTTGCCTGCCTAACTCTATCATGAATTTCAGAGAAGCACTCCCTATTGAGTTTCTTAAGAATATTCTTAATACCACGCAGCTTCTGATACAATCTTGCCATCGCAGTGCCAGAGACAGGACAAATCCACCCTTCATTTACCAACTCTTCATACTGAGGATGCGTCTTCCAAAAGCTAAAATACTTGAAAGGTTTGGGAAGGGATTGTTTACCAGAGTCCAGATTCACCAACAATCCGCAATGATCTGATAAACCTGGTAAAAGAATCTTCACCACACTACGAGGATAGGACTCCAGCCAACTCTCTGTAACAAGGACTCTGTCTAATCTCTTAGCTATTGGAGCTTCAGCCTGCTTATTGGACCATGTAAACCAGGGACCCAGGGCCTTATGATCAATCAGCTTTAAATCCTCAATCCAAGCTTTAAAGTCCTGTGAGCTTTCCCCCAAACCCACTTGAACAGAACTCTCAGAACCATCCACTATGGCATTAAAATCACCTGCCACCATCCATGGAATTGAAGGACTTACTATCCCAGCAATGTCCCTGTATGTCTGTTTCCTTTCCCCCACATCATTAGACCCATATAGAAAAGTAATTTGAGTAGTACCCCCTTCCTGTAACATACCATGAACGAAATTATTACCACTATCCACCACACTGAATCTGATGCCCTTCCTCCAGAGCAGCCAGATCCTCCCAACTCCCACCTGCGAGTAAGTTTCCCTGTGATCCCAGCCAGAAAACCTCTCATCCACAATCTTCTGCACTTTATCGGCACTAACTCTAGTTTCTAATATAGCAACAATATCTACTTTATACCTACTAACAGCTTCTAGGATGCTACTCTGCTTAGCAGGGTTGTTAAACCCTCTCATGTTCCAAACTAAAATGGACATTTACTTGGCGGGTTGCTTTGCCCCTTTCGGGGGCCGACCAGGCTTACCTTTCTTCTTGTTCAGACCATCTCGACCCAACTCAGGAAAGTGAACAGATTCTTTCTGTGGAGAAACAATAACATCGCCTACTGCAAACCGATTTAGTGTTGAAAGAACCCCAAACGAACCTTGATTAATATCAAACCCGTCAAGTGCTTGTTGGAACACTCCCTCAGAAGGCAGACCACAACTCTGCCAATCACCAGAGTTCACAGACACAGAAGTAACAAGATTGTCCACCGCCAGTTGTAACCCGATCTGAGGCTGAGCAGCATCTCCAGCAGACACATCTTGGGAAACCAGCTCTACCTGGGCCACACCCTGTACATCAGTAACTACTTGTTCCAGAGAAATTCTTCCATCCACTTCTCCTTCAGTGCCTTCCACAACCCCTAGAGAAACCTCTTGAGCCCCTTGGTCCTGCCTCTCTTCCTGTTCCTTTTCCTTCAAGCAATCATGCCCAAACTTGCAACATTTCTCACAGATTTCAGGCTTATTGCAGAACTCGATGTGCACAGTATAAGCAGGTCTCCTATCAGGAACAAGCCTCAGAGACTCCGGGAACACAGAGCCTACCTCCATCTCAACACATACGCTAGGTTTCACCATTGCTAATCAATGAATCCAATTAACCAATTAATGATACACCTAATATACAACATTATTAATACTTCCATGCAACCAACCAAACCAAACTTTCATGATTCCCTATTTTATTTTCATGTGCACAACAAACCAAAACATTATGCATCAAAAATTAAATGGGTCTGCCTATTTACTAAACCAAAACATTTTGGACATCTACTTGACTTTAGGATTACGTACAATATCATGACACCCACCTCAA